ATGTATTTCATTATGACCGTTCGAGCATTCTGTTCTTTCCAAATACATCTAAGGATAAATATATATATATTTATATATATTATATTTATATATTATGTATATATATATATATTTATATATGGTGGTGTGTTGGCGGAAGTGGTGTTGGTGGTGTTGGAGAAGTGGTGGTGATGATGTTGGTCGGAAGTGAGTGGGGGTGGTGTTGGCGGAAGTTGGTGTTGGTGTTGGCAGAAGTGGTGGGTGTGGTGTTGGCGGAAGTGGTGTGGTGTTGGCGGAAGTGGTGTGGTGGTGTTGGCGGAAGTGTGTGGTGATGCTGTGTTGGCGGAAGTGGTGGTGGTGGGGTTGATGAGCACGAAGTGGTGTTGGTGGTGATGGCGGAAGTGGTGGTGATGTGTATGGCGGAAGTGGGTTGGCAGAAGAGGTGTTGTTGGTTGTTGGAGGAAGTGGTGTTGGTGGTGGTGTTGGCAGAAGTGGTGTGGTGGTGTTGGGGAAGTGGTGTTGGTGGTGTTGGTGGAAGTGGTGTTTGAGGTGTTGGCGAGGGAAGTGGTGTTGGGTGGTGATTTGCGGAAGTGGTGGTGGTGGAAGTGGTGTTGGTGGATGTTGGTGTAAGGCGAAGTGGTGTATTGGCGGAAGTGGTGTGGGTGGTGGTGTTGGCGGAAGTGGTGTGGTCGGTGGTGTTGCGGAAGTGGTGTGGTGGTTGTGGCGGGAAGTGGTGTTGTGGTGGTAGTGGTTGTGGTGGTGGTGTTGGCGAAGTGGTGTTGGTGGTGTTGGGGAAGTGGTGTGGTGGTGTGGAAGTGTGTTGGCCGGAAGTGGTGTGGTGGTGTGTTGGTGGAAGTGGTGTTTGGTGGATGTTGCGGAAGTGGTTGTGGTGGTGGTTGTTGACGGAAGTGGTGTTGGTGGAAGTGGTGTTGGTGGTGTTGGCGGAAGTGGTGGTGGTGTTGGAGGAAGAAGTGGTGTTGGTGGTGTTGGCGGAAGTGGTGGTGATGGTTGTAGGCGGAAGTGGTTGTTGGCAGAATTGTGTTGGTGGTGTTGGCGGAAGTGGTTGGTGGTGAGTGGAAGTGGTGATTGGTGTTGGCGGAAGTGGTTGGTGGTGGTATTGGCAGTATTGGTGAAGTGGTGTTGGTGGTGTTGGCGGAAGTGGTGTGGTGGTGGTGTTGGCGGAAGTGGTGTTGGCGGTTTTTGGTGGATGTGGTGTGGTGGTGTTGGCGGAAGTGGTTTTGGTGGAAGTGGTGTAGGCGGAAGTGGTGTTGGTGGAAGTGGTGTTGGTGGTGTTGGCGGAAGTGGTGGTTGTGGTGTTGGCGGAAAGTGGTGTGGAAGTGGTGTTGGTGTGTGGCGGAAGTGGTTGTGGTGGTGGTGTTTCGGCGGATGTTGTTTGTTGGTGGAAGTTGTGTTGGTGGAAGTGGTTGTTGGTGGAAGTGGTTGTTGGCCGGAAGTGGGGTTGGTGGTGTTGGCGGAAGTGGTGTTGGTGGTGGTGTTTGCGGAAGTGGTGTTGGCGGAAGTGGTGTTGGTGGTTGTTGCGGAAGTGGTTTTGTGGGTGGTGGTGTGGCGGTGTTGGTGGAAAAAGTGGTGTGGTGGTTTTGGCGGAAGTGGTTTTGGTGGAAGTGGTGTAGGCGGATGTGTTGTTGGTGGTGTTGCGGAAGTGGTTGTTGGTGGTGTGGCGGAAGTGGTTTGGTGGTGGTGTTGCGGAAGTGGTGGTGGTGTTGGCGGAAGTGGTTGTGGTGGTTGTGTTGGCGAAGTGGTGTTGGCGGTGTTGGTGGTAGTGGTGCTCGGTGTTGTTGCGAAGTGGTTTTGGTGGAAGTGGTGTAGGCGGGGAAGTGGTGTTGGTGGAAGTGGTGTTGGTGGTGGATGGCGGAAGTGGTGTTGGTGGTGTTGGCGGAAGTGGTGTTGGTGGTGTTGGCGGAAGTTGTGTGGAAGTGGTGTTGGCGGAAGTGGTTGTGTCCCCCGGGATGGTGGTGTTGGCGGAAGTGGTGTGGTTGGTGTTGGCGGAAGTGGTGTGGTTGTTGGTTGTATTGGCGGAAGTAGTGTTGGTGGTTGTTGGAGGAAGTGGTGTGGTGTGTGTTGGCGGAAGTGGTGTTGCTGGTGGGTGTTGGCGAAGTGGTGTGGTGGTGGTGTGGCAGAAGTGGTGTGGTGTGTTGGCAGAAGTGGGGTGGTGGTGTTGGCGGAAGTGGTGGTGATGGTTGTAGAGCGGAAGTGGTGTTGGTGGTGTTGGTGGAGGTGGTGTTGGTGGTGTTGGCGGAAGTAGAGTAGTGTTGGTGGTTGGTGGCGGAAGTGGTTGTGGTGGTGGTGTTGGCGGAAGTGGTGTTAGTGGTGGTGTGATGTGATGGTGGTAGGTGTGTGGTTGGTGGCGAGGTGAACAATGTGGGACTGGAGGTGGTTGATGCGGGGGGTGGTGAATGTTGGAGTCTGGTGGTATTGATGGAGTGCGATGGTTCGTGAAGTCAAGGTGTGGTAGTAGTGGTGCTGCGGTGGTAGTGAGAGTGCGCAGTGAAAGAGTGGTGTGGTCGTAGGGGCGTGGTTGGTGGTTTATGTGGCGGTTGTAGTGAGGTGATTGGTGTGGTATGGTGTTGGTGGTGATGGTGAGTGGTGTGACGTGGAGTGTTGCTGTTGGTGGTTTAGTCACTAGGTGGGGTAGTGTGGTGAGTGATTCGTGGTGTGGGTAATGGTGGTTCGGTATTGCGGGGTTGGTGGTGGGTGGCGATGAAGGTGGTGGTGGTATGTGATGTGAAGTGGTAGTGGGGTTGAAGTGGGGCGTTGTGATGGTGTAGTGTGACGTGGTAATGGACAGTGTGGATTTACTGGTGTAGTGATGTAGTGGTATTAGTGTGATGTTGTGACGAAGCTAAGGATTGTAATGTGACGTGGTAGCGGTTGGCTTGGGGGGCAGTGGATGTGGTAGCGGTAAAAATGTGATGTTGTAGCGGTATAGTGTGATGTGGGTGGCGGGTGTGGTGTGATGTGGTAGCGGTTTTTTAAAAGAGGATGTGGTAAGTGGGGTGGTTGTGAGGTGGTACGGTTACAGTGTGATGTGGAAGCGGGGTGGTATGATGTGGTAGCGTTATAGTGGTGATGTGGTAGTGGTGTGGTGTGATTATGGTAGCGTAAAGCGTGATGTGGTACGGTACATGTGATGTGGTAGCGATGTGGTAATGATTTGGTAGCGTATAGTGTGATGTGGTAGCGGTAAACGCGCAGCGTGACTGTGGTAGCGGTGGAGTGTGATGTAGTGGCCTAGTTGATGTGATAGTGTGATGTGTTAGTGACGTACTGTGGATGTGAAGAATGGTGTGAGACGTGTGCTATAAGATGGCTATTGTTGCCGTTGTGATAGTGGTGTTTTCTGATGGGGTGTGGTGGTGATGGCACTGTATTTAAATACGAATCATAATTATGTTTAGATCCTTGTATTTTTTTTTTTTTTTTTTTTCTTTCAGATTTCGCGAGGCAGAGCCTCGCCCGGGGCTATGCCTTTTGGGAGGGCCCGGTTTGATGTATACTTGTAATGATTGACAAAATTATTATAAGCAAACTGAACTCTAGTTTTAATCATGTTGGTCGGTTTCCACTTGATTTTTTGTTTGGGTGATTTTCATCAAAGCGAATAGTGATAGTGACTGTCTCCATAACATAGAAAGACATATAAACATAATATTACCATAACTAAAAATAATGATAAAACTAAGATCAGAATAAAAAATAACGTAAAAGAGCGAACTGGCAAAGGGCATTTTCTCGTGTCATAAAGTAAGCAATATTTCAAGTTTTAATGGTTTTACTTTTATGTCTAATTTTTCTAAGGAGGAAAGTGCTCTTCTAGTCTTTGAACAAAATTCTAATCATGGTAGAGAGACATTTTACAAATAGGGAGATTTTGATAATATTAAAGTAATAATCATTAATTTCAAGAAACTCATTCAGTATTTCATTGCAGATATATGTTTTAAATATGAATATTATTCTATTGCACTGGTTTTTGCCACTAACAATTGCTACCTTTTT